AGTGACCTTGCCCATGCTGCTCCTACTGGACAGGCCTCCTTCTCTCTTTTTCTCATTTCCCTTCATGGGTCCCCCATTTGCTGGAGAACTCCTTTGACACTTTCCTTGCTGCTCCCTGCCCCCAAGACAGGGCTGATGATTCTCACCCTGTCTCTCTATAGTGCATAGCCTCACCGTCTCACTATCACACTGTTTTGTAATTAGGCATGGGGGAGGCATGTCTTGCCTTCCTTGTAAGAGTGAGTCCTCCTTGTGTTCAGAGTGCAGACTGGGTGTGGCACCGAGGATGTGCCAAATGCACGTCTGCTGAATTATGTTGATTTTGTTGCATGGTTAGGTAGGAAGCACTGTTTTCTATAGGAAAATGGTGAGAAGTGAATGTAGAATGTTCTTCCCTGGAATCCAGGACAAGAGAAAGACAGAGAGTCAGGAAATCAAGGGAAAGCTCTTTTTGTTTGTTTGTTTTAATGGAGACCAAGTCTTGTTTACAAGCAGAAGAAAAAGAACTTTGAGTGAGAGAAAATGCAAGTGAGGTAAGGAGAAATGGATGGATCGGGATACTGAGAAGGGTAAGGAAGAGACCAAGGACTCAGCGGAAGAGTTAACTGTGTCCAGGAGGAACCTTTTCTCTCCAGAGACAGGACAAAAGCAAGTTAGGCAGGATGACTGTGCAGAGGCATTCTGAGAAGGGGAGTGAAATTGAGGAAGCTCTTTCTGTATAGATCCAGGCTTAGTGAAGGAGGAGGTGAGCTTATGCAAAAAGCCAGTTGATGAATCCAATACCATTACATTTTGCACGTGTAAACCACAAGATGTTGAGAAAAAAAACACAAATACTAGGAAGGTACTTGGACAAGCAGTGGCCTGTTAGATACTGTGGTCTTAACGAAAGTCTTATCACAATGGCACAGAAGCTTAATTTCCTGAGGGGCGGGTGGGCCAGGGATGGAGGCTCTGCCAAGACCTCCTCTGATATTCCTCTTTCCCCCTTCCATAGTGATATGGTTGGGCCATGTCCCCATCCAAATCTCATCTTAAATTGCAGTTCCCATAATTCCCACATGTCATGGAAGGGACCTGTGTGGAGGTACCTGAATCATGTGGGCAGTGACTTCCACGCTGCTATTCTCATGATGGGAGTGAGTTCTCTCAAGATCTGACTGGTTTATAAGGGGCTTTTCCCCCTTTGTTTGGCACTTCTCCCTCCTGCCATCATATGAAGAAGCATGTGTTTGCTTCCCCTTCTGCCATGATTGTAGGTTTCCTGAGGCCCCCGCAGTCATGCTGAGCTGTGAGTCAATTAAACCTCTTTCCTTTATAAATTACCCAGTTCCAGGCAGTTCTTTATAGAAGCATGAGAACAGACTAATACACAGAGAAGAGCCATTTGAGCTTTGACTGATCAGAGATTTGGTATAGCGTCAAACACTGCAATTCTGGAGTTGTACTTTGCTGCGCCTCCTCAACCTGGTTTTATCAGGCAGCAAAGCAGACATTTACACTCTAACTGTAGTTTCTGATCAAAGCCATAGTTTAAATGGATTACAAGTAATTTCCTCCTGAAACCCCTCAAGACTCCCTGAAGTCTGGGGTGAGTTTTGGACTGGTATGGCCAGAGCAGGAAAATGGGTTTGCCCACAGCTATGCCCAGGCCCAGGTCCCCTCCTTCACCTACCTGGCTCCTTGGAGTCCTTAGCATCCCTCCAGGGAAACACTGTAGGCAGTCTTTCCCCACCTCAGTACTAATGCTCAAGGGTTAAGCTCAAGGTTTAGCTTCTCTTGAAAGTCTATAGGAGCAGTTACATTTGTTGAGAATTTCACAAAGAATCTTAAATTCGGGGACACTTCTTTCATGACCACCCATACCCAGAAGGGCAAATCATGTTTTTTAGGAGTTTCAAGACTTAATTCTGAGGATAGCCGGGTGTCTGTTTAACTGAGGCCATACAGCAAGCAGATAACTCAGTCTGTTTTTAAGAATACATTTACCTCACCTTGCACGGCCTGTTTATGTTCACTTTTCCTTGTTTTTTAAAATCCCCCTTTCCCACTTTGCTTTTCGTTTTATAAAAAACTGACAGATGGGTATTAAATGGAAAGGCTTGATAAGTGTGCTTTTCTTTGTGGGGAGTGAACCTGCCCAGAAGAGTCACGGAGGGGGCTGAACATGTTAAGAAGCTGGAACATTCATATTTCTGACTATTTAACATTATTCTCAGTGAAAGTCGGGTGTCAACAATATTAGCATCAAAGTAAATGGCTAAAGAATAGTGGCTCAATACAAGTTATTGTCTGTAACTGAAGGTTATCACAAGGTGTGGGGGTACAGAGTGAAGTTTCTCCATAGATGATCACAATTGAAAGACAGATCTCTGAACTAGGCCCCTTCTCTCAACTTACCTTTTTTTGAAAGTGCATGATCATGGAGACATATCCACACACAGAAACATAGACCTTTAGAGATAAAGGGCACCTTGTGGACACACACAAGCCCGGTTTTAGGCTGCAGAACGGGAGAAGGTAGTACAGGACTTTAAAACCTGTCTGCAGTTCAGAGCAGGCTTGAAGCTGGGAGCTCAACTCCCCAAATATCACATTTATCTCAATTTGGCAAGAAGCTGAAAACCTATCTGGGACCATTTAAATTCTAATGTTATTAAGGTCTCGTCTAATCAGCTTTTAAAATAAGCTGCTTCGAATGCATGGGAAATGAAGGTGAGATAGAAGCAGGTGAGCAAGGCAGTTCAGGCCAGCCTGCGATCATCTGGGTTTGAACTGCCAAGGAGCCATGAGTAGACCTGGCTGCCTACCTATTTGGTAACTCCTATAATTCCAGCACCAAGCCATGCTAGTGAAAAGTGATTAGTAAGTGTGAAGGGGAGGAGACTGATCTGGACAAGCTATGTTCTCCTGTGAGGTGGTTCAGATGCATGTGGCAGGCTTGGCAGGGAAAGATGAACTGCCTTCTGGGCCAGGAGGAGGCTTTGATATTTAATCAGCAGGGCAACTGGTGCTTATAACAACTACCTCTGAATATTGCATCCTGTAGGCTCCTGAGAATTTCCTTCCTGAGGAGAGCCAGCAGGACTCACCATCCCCGCCTGGACCCACTGACAGTCGTTAGCTGCCTTCAGCCAACCTCACATCCACCTCTGATTGGACTCTCTTTGGTCCCAGGAACTTCTGTCAGCCCAAGACTACAGTGGGGCTTGTCTTGGTGCGTATATGGCTCTGGTGTGATTTAGGATCATCCCCAGGCCCTACTTTAAATATCAGGCTCATCTTGTTGTTCATGAGTATTGTCTGATTTAGCCATACCTGTGGATTGGTTTCCAAAGGTAGGACTGGGGTGGGTCCTAGTTGCTGGAACAAGGCTGGCTCTAGATGTGATGAAGACAAATACCCTCAGCAGTCTTTTCTCTCCCCCTGCTGCCTCCTACACACTACTCCAGAATCTCATCCAGGTTGGCAGTCCTGGGCTCTCCATTGCATCCTTCTAACCCCTCCATCAAAAGCCTCACATAGCAGAATGGGATGAAGAATGTGTAGGTGCCCTTGTCATGCTAATAATTGGTCTCATGTTTAAACCAATATTCTTCAAGTATTTACCTAACATTTATTTAGAAGAGGGTGACAGCACTCCAGCTCTCATTCTCACTGAACCCTTCCTCAGAAGTCAGTTTCAAGACCGAGTATTTTTATCTGAGCAAGCTTTTTGGGTGAAGGGTTTAATCTCCCATTGCAAGTGGTTTGTCAAATATTATTTTGTCCATACAAGTGCTTTCTCTGAGCAGAGTGCAGGTCAGTACAAATGTCTTCATTGTAATACATTGCCAGTGATGCTTTTGTGACAGCCACCCTGAGTCACTGGTCCCCCCTGTTCCACCTTCCAGCTCTGCTTGGTCACAGAGAACTTGAACTGAAACAGCAGGTATCCTAGAAGCAACAAATGAACCAAGTCCCCCTTAAGTGTGAATGGCTGATAGCCAGCATGATGTGATGATGTCTCTTGTGACTTGGAATATTCAAAGGCGTGTTAAAAGGCATGGGATGCTTTGCAGTCACGTGCCCTCAAGGGAGGCAGGCTGCCACTGACGGCATTCTGGGCCGATTCGAACACAGGCCTTCAGAAAAGATTTGCCTTAAGTCTAGAGCGTAGCATGACGGATACCGAGACCGTGGTGAGGCGGAGAAGAAAATGAGCTTTCTTTTTTTCTGAACAAAGCTTAGCAATTGTATGACAAATAGAGAGACGACACTGGTGGCTACATTACCATTGATTTGTACAGGAAAAAAGGGCCACACCTGTTTGAAAAGTTCCCAATTCAGTATATGAAGTTTGAGTGCCATGGAAAGTTGTTAAAGGACCTACATATTCACTGCGCCTGCCAACTCCATGAATCCCAACAGCCTTCTCCTGTGCACCATTTTTTAGAGGTTATTATTTCAACCTGAAAATTCTTTAGACATATATATGTGGTATGAAAAAGGAATTAGGAAAGCTTTTAAATTAAAGGAAATAAAACGACAGGTTTTTCCTCCAGCCATATAGTTATGGATAGAGATAAAGAGATGGATATTTCTTCATAATACTTTATGAGGGGTTTTGGAACTCCAGAAATTTTAGAGTGAGACTGGTGAATAATTTAGCACTGATTCATGCAGGCCCAGTGCAGGCTCGGGCAGGCTGGGAGTCAAGTCTAGCTTCTTGGAAGGACTGAGCACAGCAACACACTTTTTTACCAACTGCATCATGAAATGCACTCAGAAATATTTTATGAGAAGCCAAAGCCTTGGGACCTAGTTTCTTCAGCTCTTTCAGAGACTGCATGAAGCCCAGAGGAGCTAATGCTGTTGACCACTTCATTTCAAGGAGACTGGCCCCCAGGGTGTTGTTTCAGTGACAAAGGGTCTCAGATCCCTGGGAATATGCAGTTACTAGTGAAAGCCTCAGACTGGCATAGGAATGATGAATGTCAAATGTCCACAGCAAATCTTACCTTTCGTGATGCTTTCTCTTCACTGCACGTTCTTTTAATCCTAACTCCAAAAGAGACCTGCCTCTATGCAGTTAAAATGATACAGCCACCTGAAACAGAAATAAGGGAGGGAAGAAATATATTAATGCTTTCAAAAGAAGAACGCTTGGTTACTCTTTTTATTCTATGTGCTGATCTCCTTTCAAATAAATGTGTAGGTGCACCATGTGAATTTCTAAAGCAAAGAAAATTGTGGCTTAGTTGCTTTTCCTCTCTAGAGACTTTTATTTATTTCATTAATTTCTTTTATCATCATCGTTTTCAATAAAATGGTAAATATTTGAGGTAAACAAATCTATAGAATGATTATAAATCCAGAAATGTAATTTGGGTCTTTGAATGTGGCTGTAATAACATGCTTAGCTGATCTGATTATGACAAACGCTTGACACTCTCTCCACCAAGCCTCCCATACAAACCTCTCCTCCCCAGCTTGAGACCCTCTTCTGTCCTTAATGTCCTTGGCACTCTAAGCATTCCTATGTCATCAAAGTCTCCTTGTACTATAAACCTCTTTATTTGTGTCATTCTCACTCTGGACTCCCAACTCTTCAGGGTCAGACTCTGTTTCACTGTTTCAGTTCCTGTCCCAAGCACAATGCCGGCGCATACAAGTTGAACAGAGAAGGAATACATGCATGCAAAACAGAGAGCCATTCTCTCAGGTTAGAACAACCTCCAATAAAAGCAGTGGCACTGATTGTAAACGAGAGCTTCTAAGTAAGCAAATTTGTCAGCCTGTCTAATCAGGGGTCCTATGCAGATCTCTGCTACACAATTACCAGGCCTCCGCTACACAATTTCCAAGAATGTGTCAACACAGTTGGTGGCACCAATAATTATGCCTTCAAGGGCTTGCTTCTCACAAACCCTGCTAAACCTTCTCCAAATGGGATGCTGAGCCTCAGGAATATCATTTATAGGTGCCTCAAGAGGATGGATTTGCAAAAATCAGGTGGCGTCTGAGAGAGGAAGAAGCAGGCATTTGGCTTGCTCATATAAGACATTTGTGAATAAATTAACCTTCCCTGGAGGACCTCATGAAACTTCAGAGTTGGAAGAAGTGTAAAGATTATTTAGTTCTGGAAAAGCAAACAGGTTCTATATTGAGTGAATACTCCAGTGTATCCACTGTGGCTGCCTGGAGAGTGGGGACAAGAAGGATTCTGAGGTGGTATCACTGGGAAAGAACTGGTCATCAGTGGGTTTGCCAGGGCCCAGGACTGGGAGGTGTTGCAGGTGATATAAATGCCAAGTATTTTTCTCTTCCAATTCTAATCTGGCTACTCGCCAAATGGAAGAATCACAGGTTCTTTGGACAGTATAATTTAGATGGTAGCTGCCCACAAATTGCAGCCTATTTAGGGGGCCAATAACTCTGATACTAGAAAATCTCTTCTTCCATTCAATTAAAACCGTGCCTCCTGTTTGCTTCCATCCACTCACTGACCTTTCTTTTCCTCATCCTCATCTCTGAAGTGTTAACCTCACTCTCAGAAAGCTGGTCCAATCTCTTTTGAACAAACTAAGTCAAAAGTCATGAAAAATGTTAGCAAAATCCTCTTCACTTGAGTTTATTAAAAACACTGAGTACCTTTGACAAGCTGTTTTACTGTTATGTATTTCTCCAACTAGATATAGACACAGTTATTCACTCATTCAAGTAACATGTTTATTGAGAGTTTATTGAACAGACTTAGCAATTGTATGATAAATACAGAGAAGACTAGTGGCTATATCATCATTATTTTGTACAATAAAAAAGGGCCACACCCGTTTGAAAGGTTCCCAATTCAATATATCAAGTTTGAGGGCCATGGAAAGTTATTAAAGTTCATACATTTTAGAGTTCTTCATTTGATATTCCTAAAGTTATTAGTAACACATGCTTATTGTAATGAAAATGTATGCAGAAAAAGCTAATCGTTTTCCCCAATCTCAGTTTCTTAAGTAACATTTTAATACACGGGTACGTATCTTTCCACACTGTCATAATTTCCCAGGAAACAGCTTGAGACTAGATATGCAGACAGAGGGCTTACTGAGACTTCCGCCTGAGAGCTACCTACGGCACCTGGGGGAAGTACAGGAAGTGGAACAGGCCAGAGGAAACGCTGGAGTTGTCCTGCGCTGAAAAAGGATCCAGGTCTTTGGCTCTGGGCTGCCCCCAGGGAGAGGGTGGGCAAAGAAGCTCTTTTTGGCTGATGATTCCTGTGAAGGGACTCAGCTGTGAGCTGTCAGCAGCCAACGCTCCCAGCAGCTGCAGAATTGAGTGCCTCAGTTGGGTGGTGTCTCAAAGCACCCAAATATACACCCTCCCTTTTGCTCATTTAAAGCTAATTATGCATATATAACAGATATATGGGATGTTTTTGTTTATAGTTTTTAACTGAAATGCTCTGCAGCTTGCTTTGCCTTAACCTACAAACATCATCATGTTTCCTCTAATTTACTTAGGCATATATACACACACTTTTACAAGATTATATTATACACGTAGAATTTTCAGTGCACTCTTGTCTTTTTCTCCGTGCTCACCTCTCTCTGCCTCCTTTCCTTTCCTGCACCATCCACATTACCTCGGCCCCTGTGTTGGGAGCGTGATTATATCCTTTCACTGTCATGTAACCACCTATATACATATGTGAATGTGGATATGTGCACTTATTTACTTTTTTAGTCATTGACAGCAACCATTTACTGAGAGCCTTGTGAGTACCCAGGCCCACGCCAGGCACCGGGAATATGAAGAGGATGCAGCCACCACCCATGAGGAGCTCCTGTCTTTGAGGGAGGGGTGCATGGGAACTTGTCAGGGCAGGTCACTTTGGAGGCATGCATCTCCAAAGTTATTTAGAGGATTAGAACCAAAATTTGGGGCTTCTGTTTTCTAGTCCTGTCCTCTTTTTCATTTAACCAGTTTTATTTATTTAAACAGGTTTCAAACTGTTGGCTGAGCAACTGCCAAACTGAGCTGGAGTCTGTGTGCCAATCTTCCTGAAGTCATTACCACACTCGCTTTGAAAGAATGAAGCCCATCCTGAAGCCAGTATACTGGCCCTTGTGATAGAGCATGCATTACCTCACTAATAGATCCACTTAATTTTATCAACGAGTCATCCAGCCCTAATGATATCACACAAAGGCCTTATCTTAAGATAGATTCATATAACTGGTGACAAGGCACAGGATTGTTATGACAGCCTTTGAAGCTGATGTGTCACCATTAGGCATGCATTCCTGCCACAGCAACTACTGGAGGCAAAACCATTAGCTAAGATGAATACGGGGTATGGGGCTCAGGCTCCCAAATCCTTTCAGCTTCCACACTTTCAGAGGGACCCGAGGGAGAGGACAGGTGGCATTCTGAGACATACACTAGAATAAAGGGCATGCAGACCTGACACCCCGGCGGCTTCAGCAAATGGATGTGTTCTTTCTGTCCACACTGCAACCTACTCATTTACCCCCTTTTCAGTGCCCAGCATTATCTGGGGTCAACTTGCAACAGCTCATCTTTGGAAAAAAACGTCCTGTGAAATATATCTAGAAAATGTGCATTGTATTTTCATTCCTCATCAAGTGCTGACCCCTCTGTAACACAGGTGAATTCAGCCATTTGAGGGGCTTGGCAAGAGCTGGAGATCTGGACAGTCCAGAAAGTGCAGCCCAAGAGCCGCTGTTGATCTCAATCACAGATTTTTCACCCGAGCTTTGTGTTTTTATCCTCTTTGGCTTAGGTGAGTCATGGGCTTTAGAAGAAAGACACCTGCTGGGCCAGGTAAGATCCAACAATCAAAAACTGCAGAGGTTTCAGACTTCACAGTAACAGTTCATTTGGACATGCAGTATAAACCGTGGTGCTTGAAAGGTTTTGGTTGATGTACTGCAGATTGCTGGAGATGTTCCAGTAATGGCTATTTGATCCCAAGGATGCTGATCGGCTATAGACAAAATTGCCCAATACCCCAAAGTATGGTCAATTCATTTTTTTCTCAATTCTCACAGCAGTTGGTTGCTGAACAATGGATCCGATTTTGAACAGCTTTCAAATTGTACTTAGTCATCTTAATGTGAAAATGGGAAATTTAGGCAACTGTTGTTGATCTGACCCATATTCTGCTTCTAAACTCACAAGGCTTCCTACCAGGAGGGCTCCTGAATGGCTATTTCAGACTTCTACTTCCAGGCATACAAATTTGAATGTTTCTTAAAAGGATTTCTCTGATCCACTGATACTGGCAAAGCGTCGCAATTCAGCAGAGTGTAAGAAGTTCATGAATTCTCCATTTATATAACAAATTACCCCAAATCTCAGTGGTTTAAAATAATAAACATTTATTATCTCATAATTTGTACGGGTCAGGAATTCAGAAGCAGTTTATCTGAGTGGTTCTGGCTCAGGGTCTCTCATGAGGTTTCAGTCAAGATGTTGAAGGCTGCAGTCTTCAACCTGGTAGGAATAGAGGATCTGCTTCCAAGATGGCTCCTTTGTTTGATTTGGTCATTGCAGGAGGCCTCAGCTTCTCCCCATGTGGGCTTCTAAAAGGGTGTTTGAGTGTCCTGACAACATGGTGGCTAGCATTCCCCAAAGTGAACAATCTGAGAAAGTGCAAGGTGGAAGCCACAGTATCTTATAAGACTAAGCTCACCATCATTTTGGCAATATTCTATTGGTACATAGGTTAGCCCCATTTAATGAGGGGAAAAGCTGCAGAAGGGGGTGAATGCTATAAAGCAGGAAAAATTGGGGGTCATCTTGAAGGCTAGCTGCCACAAATGCTTTGCGCTTTTGCTTTGTCAATAACGGTAAAGACAAGAAAGAAAACATTTCTCTTTCTTGTATCTACCTGGAGCAACAAATGAAAAGCATGACATTTGGCTCAAATCCCAGCTCTTATCAGCTACAGACTTGGAAACGTATTTATTAAATCCCTCTAAGCATGTGTTTTCTAATCTGTAAAATGGGAATAATAATATTTCCTTACAGGATTGCTGTGAGAATTTACTTAGATAATATATGTAAAAGGCTTATTAGCTTAGTGTGCAG